TTCGACCCTGACAGTATTACAGATAGATATGATGCAGAGCCTGAATTAGATCAGGCTACCAGTGTTTTACTTCTTCCCTGAACATTAACAAGCTCCTTCACTAATGTGGATATTTGGGCAGACTACTGAGGTTGTAACGTTTGAGATCACCATTTTATGGGCTATTTTTTTTTTCTTTTTTTTTTTTTTTTTTTTTTTTCCCCCAGTATCACAGTAGTTTGTTACACAAATCCCCCATCCCTGGATTAGAGTCATTTAAACTAGTTGTTGGGACCACATACATTAGTAAACTCAGAACCAAGTCTGTAAAAAGTGTAAAGGTCACAAAGAACCATAGTTCTGGTATAATGAGGCATACCCTAATATATCATTTAGTGTACCCTGACTGCTCCTGACTGTGAGAAGCTTGTCTTCCGTGAGATAAGGCTACATCCTCAAGCAGGTGAGTCTAAATATCACCCTTCAAAAACACCAAATAAAATTACAGCGAAGGTAGTGTTATAAATAATTAACTGACATTTTCTGAAGGTAGTGTATGTAAGTTTTCCCTCCCCTCCCCTCCGGGTGAGCACTAAGCAGACAGCAAATGGTAAGTACAGTTAATTTAGAAAGAAAACAGTGGAGAGCCTAATTAGACCCAATTGATTATCTATCTAGTTGACAAATCTGAGTTCTAGAGAGGTACCATTCCTAAATAATTTGATTTAGCTCAAACCTTTCAATCAACTGGATCAACAAAAAATAAGAAGGGAAAAAAGATTTCTGAAACAGTTTTGAAGAATGACAGTCTGATTTTCATTTGAAAATTGCCTGGTTTTAGGAGAGTGTCAGTTTAACAAAGTGGACTTCTTTCTATAAAGGCAGATATGAAAAATCCAACATCAGAAGTTCAGGCAGGCTCTATAGGCAAGACGTCCACTTCTACAGATCTGCATTCTTTGTGAGGTAACTGAATTCTCTATTACAGAGAAACATGCAAAAGGCAAAAGAAAAAAAAAAAAAAGGAACAAAGAAAGAAAGAGGGCAGTGGGCAGGTGAAGGAGGGAAACTGTGCCATACTAGGCCAGAAAAATTTACAAATGTGACATTCAGAGCACATCTTTCACCTGTGTTCACATAAGTCTATGCTAAACTGCAAAGGAAAGAGCATTGCAGTAAACAGGAGACTCAGGTGCGCTCAGTGATGGTTGAACTATGCAGTAGTGCTCACCCAGTTTGCAAAGTAATTGGCACTCTACAACATCCCTATTCATCCTTCAATTCATTCGCACTTTGTGCTGCTTCTCCCTGGGGATCTAATTCAATCTTTACTGAAACATCCTGCCCCTCCGACCTCATTAATTTCATTTTTTTCTTTGGAGGGTTTTTCAAAGTGCCCAGCCTCTCTTTAACTTTGTACTCCAGTGTACTGTGGGGGATCCCATAAATACTCTGAGCTTTGGAAACACTCATTTTCCCGCTCATAACCACAGAGATTGCTTCCTCCAGTATCTCGCTGTTGTACTGTCTGTATCTCCCTCTTTTCTTCCTAGGTTGCTTGGAGCCAGGATCTCCCTCTTGATCTGAGGTGGGATATGGCTGTCCAGAGGTAGACTGCTCAGCATCTGAGCCCCAGGAATCTGGTCCAGCATCCAGCAAACTTCTCCTATTTTGTTTTGGAAGGATAGCCCTTAACTTTTTGCTAAGCGCGCTCTCCGTTTGTGAACCCATTACCAAAGAGCTATAGCTGAACTGGTCACCAGTGCGGGACTCCCATGAAAGGTCCATGCCTCGAACTTGTGGTATCTTTAAATCCACAGGAGATGAATGGCTCACGTCCTTTTTCCCATCCTGTTTAGTTTGAAGTGCCATTTTTTGAAAGGCAGAGTTTTCTGTAAGAAAAGGAAGGTCACTGATGTTGCTGAGTGCACCATTTCCCCTGAATTTCATGCGGCTGAAATTGAATTCGTAGTGTGGTTTTGCCCAAGAAGCCTCCCTGGATAATATTAAGTGCTGTCCATGATTCTGTAGTCCAGATGGCCCATGGCTGGCAGCCGTAGAAAACTGGTTTCTGCTCAGCAGTTCTTCACTAATCTGGAGTGATCGAGCCAGCGGTACTTTAAGAGATGTGGAGTGGCCATAACCTTCCCTGGTTCCATCCTGCAAGCTTCTTGGAGGTACCCCATCACCACTCTGTAGTCCCTCCGGATGGTGCTGGCTGGGTCTCCCAGGTCGCCTAATTGGATGGAAGGAAACTGATGTGAGCAGGACTTGCACAGGTAGGGAGGGATGGGTGAGGGGGCCACTCCTTTATTAGAAGGCCTTGCTTGGGTAACATCACTTTTTGTGTTATTTATTTTTCTCTAAATTTTTTTTTTTATTACTTTAATTTTTTTTTTTAAGTCTCAGCATCAGTCAGTTTTAAAACTTGTTCACAAAAAAAGAGAAGCTTTTTGGGCAAAGAAAAATGAAACCTGTTGGCTGGTCTCTGGTTGGGTTCACAAATTCTCGGAGTAGAAAAGACTTCGCGCAAGCGTCTGAAAATAGCACCTTAATTACAAAGTAGTAATCAATCGCCATAGATCTACACACAACTGTGTTACTGGTGTGACGTTACCACTAAACAAGCACAGTAATAAAAGAGTAAGCCAAAGTGCAACATATTCAGCATGTAAATATGACTGCCACCTGCAGTATCTACACACAGGTGGAAACCCTGGATAGTGTTTGCTTACATCATATTGAAGAATTGCTGCTCAGGATAAAAGGAAAAGCTTAGCAGGCCTCAGAGGTATTTGCCTGACTTTCATTAAGCACCAGATATGAAAGCTGAGATACCACGGATCACAAAGGAAAACACACTAGACTTACCAAACTGCTCTCTTAACTACTAATTGCATATATACAGAGCCCTGAATCTCATCTGATAAAAAGCATGCCTAGGAAAAGGAAGAGCTAAGCACCAACTGTCATCCAGATCTAGGGTTAACAAAAAAACAAAAAAAAAAAAAGGCAGTATGTGTTTTTACTATTTCCCTTTTATCACAAGTGTTCTTTCTATGAAATTAAGTACTACTGCTGCAGAGAATCACATCTATTTTAATGCTTTGATTGCTTAGCCCCCTGTAGTTATTAAGTCACATTGGTTTCAAAATCCACCCCCAAATTTCTCCATGTTCAGCATACAAATTAATAAAGAGAATCTATTTTAATGCTCTGGGATGCTATACTGGTGTCAAGCCCTCTGGCTAAGTCAGCATTACTTAAGGATAGGATACATAGTACTGAAAAGCTACATTATTATTTTTAACACCACATTGGGATTAAAAAAAGTCTTTAGAGAAAAGACATCCACTGCAAGAACCTGGCATGTAACATACACAATGCTTCATACACACTATGCACTTGCTATGCACTTCTCTCCAGGATGCAACAAGTCATAGGATGTGCACAACAAAAGTCAACAAGGATTCAGAACAAAATCCAGAGAAATGGATCAAAGTTTGCAGTTCCAGAGAGCCCTCTCAGACAACGTGCATTCTCCACCCCTTGTACAGCATGTATCAGCATCACAGCGTGCACCAGTGATTCTACACCTAAATAAAGGTCATACTGGCAGATAATAGAGGGTCACACCCCACTTAGTGATGCTGAACAAACTGCAGCCAGCCTCGTATGCCACACACCTGGACAAGTAACCACAGGTGCCAGTATGCCACATCCTCCCTGGACCCACAGGACCGAGCAGGACAGTGCCAGATGCTGGCCCTGCCATCCCTGTGTGCTGGACTTTGGCCCTCACTTGATTCACAAACAAGGGAACAAACAGTACAGAGCCTCAGTGGCTTCTGCTGCCTTCCTAGGAAAATAAAGATGGAAATAACCTGTTCAGAATTAGAGGAGAAATACTGCTGGGCAAGGTTTATGCTAAAGAATTGTAAAAAGTATTAAGACTAAGTTTTAAAGAGGGATTGAAGTATTTTATTAATAGAAATATTAAAAGGAAAAGTAATCTTGAAAGGAGAAATCTGAGACAGTATATTTTTCCAAAGAGAAATGCAAAAATTCAATCAGCTGTTATCAGTACATGGGAATGGGGGTGGAAGAGGGTTGCTAGTTGAGATTTTCAAGTTTTTCAAAGGCTATCATAAAGCTAAATACAGCAATTAAATAGCACTTTAAACCATATACTATTTCTGTACTTCAGTAAAAAATATTTGTTCACAGTAGCTTCAAGATAATCAACACCCAAACCCCCTCTTAGTCCCAAGTCAGCCTCTCCAGTACCACCCTGACCAAGAGTAAAGGGTTTCTAAATGTATGCAAATGGTAACCATTAGAAATATGAAACCTAAAGAGTGTTTTATTATTTAACAGTAATTCACACCTTGAACTGATTAGGCAAGAGTAGTACACCATATACTTTGTGATTATTTAAAAAAAAAAACAAAACTATAGAACAATTGCAAATCCAAAGTTACATTTAAAGTTTTCTGAACTACCAGACTACCTACCACATGTCCTCTTCTAAGTTGTGGTTTATGCTAGAAAATATTAACAAAAATCATGCAGTGATTTAAATCTAATTCACCATGGTTTATCACCCAAATCATTGTTACCTCTAAAATAAACTTTCCTGTTAGCTACCTTTGCCCTAAGTGAAATGAAATCTAAATATACTGCAAAGCCTCTAAGAATCTTCATGCACTTATGTGAATTTGCATGTTCACAGAAATCACCTATCACTAAATCCAAGAAACAGGTAATGGAAGGATCTCTGGATAAGCACCAAATTGGCAAAAATAACAGATATTAGAGTCTTTAACTGCAAGTTAAACCTGTCTCAGTTGGCAACAACTCTTATTTGGCAGGTGGGGTGAAGGTATTTGCCAAAGGTACGAGTTGAAAACACGTTACTCCAAAGGGTTAACACCAAAAGAAAGTTAAAATTAACAGGAGCTAAGCACACATTTTCAGTAAAAAACTGTTTCAAAAGGTCATAGTAAGTTGCTTTCTCTTACCCATTTCCTGAAGTACTAGAGCACCCTGGAGAGTGACTCAGAGAGGTGCTGCCAGCACAAGGACTCTTCTTAGTGGATAAATCAAGCACACCGTCTGCAGAGACAAAAGAATGACTTCAGTGTTTGAAGAAGCAGGATCAGCCATGCTGATCTTGCCTTCAGCTCAAAAGACAAAGCAAGTCTTCTGAGCTGAAGTCATTTTTATCACACATTTTTTGGTTTATTGTATTTTTAAAGAAAATAAGGCTTGGATTTTTTTTTTTTATTTTTTGCAATATGGTTTACATGTGACTTCAATATAGTCTTTAGAAATCAATAAAAATTAACAAAATTAAAAGTGCATCTGTTGCAGGAGACATAGCATAACAAATTACCTACAAGTCACAGCTCTGGATACAACAGAGCCTATCACATAACTACCTTTCAGTGGTCCAGAACTGAGACAATCTTCAAGACTTGTCAAACTGAGATATTCCCCTCCTTAAAGGGAGGCTGCAAGCCAGTATTAGGATGTTTTTCTTTTTTAATCCAAATCTCTTGTAGAAAAATTGCGAATTCCATACAGGAAATTAAATTAACACACATATAGATGTGAGATTCCTTCTCACATGGCAGCCAGCTTCATCTTCTTTTTTCATACCTCCAATGGCCCCTACTGGAAATGCTGCTGCCTTTCTTCTCTATTATGTCCTTTTATTCCCTCTCTTCCATATGCCAAATTGGTTTTCCTGTTAGACTGCTTCCTCCAGTCTCACTAATGGCACATCCTCAAGCTCCCCCCATGCTCCCCTGCAAACCCTTATGTAAACTCGGCATTTACAGGCACCAGAAAATGGAGCATGGTTCACCAGAAAAGCCTTGCTCCTGCTGCACACTGAAGCAGCTTGAAATTCTGGTCATTTTAATAAGGCAAACATTGTCATTGAAGCAGCCCAGATATCTGAAGTTCCTGAAAACTTCGAAACGAGGAATTTATGAGGCAGAGATAAACGAAACCTGTTGGCAAGGTGAACTTGAGACATATGAGAGCTCCTCACTCATTCCATCTAATCAAGTGCATACCACCCAACACAAGAACAATGTAAGGCAGCTTTCAGATTGCTTCAAGTTCTCATTTGACATATGGAGAAAAAAGATGATAAACAGTGAACTCGAATTAACTTACGAAAAGCTGTTCCACCCACTGCATTTGGGAACACACCATAACCCAAACTTAAGCAAGCAGAAAATTAAATTTTCTTTTTGAGCAACACTTATGCAGGCACAAGAGACAGACTGAATCAAGTCTGTCTTTCTTTTCGAGAGGCTGGACAGCACAGGCAGCTGCTGGAGGCACTTGCATCCGTGCTTCCTCCCTCAGAAGAGTCAGTATGACCTAGAAGCCCCTGAGGACAAGCAGGGCCAACCTCACACCCCAAGGAGAAGCTTACAACTAGCTGGGTTCCCTTCAAGCCACTAGAACAAACTATAGCACAAAGCAACACTAGCAATCTTTCATGACAGCCTCTGAAATCTCTCATTAACAAGTTTGGCAAAATCTCTTTCCAATTACATTAAATGTAAATTGGGAAAAAAAATTTACATCAGCAAACAGATTACTGTATAATTCAATATGCACATGTTCTACTCTCCTAATGAGCGCTATGAACACCATACATTATCTTACAGTTTTTTCCATCACATGGTAGCTAAAAAACAGTTCATGTACATGCTTTCTTCTTCACCATACCATCCTCTAATTAAAAAGGAACAAAGAAAAAGCAAAACTGATTCTCTTCCTCTTTCTTTCAGCAAAAAGTTTAACAACGAGAACAGTTTAACATTTATAAACATGCATGCAAAACACACTCACAAAATGTACTTATAATAAAGACCGCTAGAAACAAATGCCTACCAGCTGGCTGTACAGGTCCACATTTCAAGGGAGACACTACTCAACCTCCCACTGCAGTTTGTAACTGAAGTGCAACGATAGCTTTCAGTAAGTGCTCTAAGTGCAGTGTGTACCCAGATGTCCAAGCTGCATATTACTGGACACATAAAATTAACCTGTTTACAAAAAGCTTCATAAACCAAATTTAAAAGAATGAAGGGATACCTACTTTTCTGTAGTAGCTAGAAAAAGGCTTTTTTTTTTTAAATTTTTTTATTTGCAGAAATTTTTTTTATTTGCAGATGGACAGCCTACTGTGAGAGAATGACTTCAAACACTAACATTTTTCTGAAGAAGGATAAAGGGTCTAATTTTAATCAGTACGATACACTTAGGATTCAACAGTTTCAGAAAATAAAAGTTCATATAGAACATCACTCACAGAATTTGTTTCTTTAAAAAAAAGGCATTTTTTGATGGAAACCAAGGCTTTTGAATTAAAATAAGCTCTGAAACACTGCTACAAGTTATTCAATCTGTGCTCTGCAGAACAAGTCTATTTTTAAGGTAGAAAAGAGACATTTCTTCCAAACACACAAACCTGGAAGTTTAGTGCAGTTCATGGGTATAATTTTCATGGCCTTCACAAAGCGATTTCTCACAGACTTTTTAAAGATACTCTTACACCACGACCAGAAAGAAAATAAATCAACCTTTCAGTCAGATTGTGCACTAATCTACATAGAAGAGACAACATTATGATTTTCATGACCACGTGAACTTCTCTTATCAGCAAGTGTACAGTCTATTTTGGCAGACTGTTTCTGGCAGCTCCCAGTAGGAACAGCACATTTATCCTCAGAGTCTAGAGCATGTCCATCCCCTTTGCCCTTCTTCAGAAAAGTCTCTCGTATCTATGGGTCTACATTCTTTCAAAAAGTCTTTTCTCTCCCAGCCACACTGAACTAGTCATTATTTAATTGTAAAAACATCTACTGCTTTTCCACTTTACATTTTATGCAAAAGTGCAACCTTCTAATTGGTTCTGCAATAAGAATGCCATTAATGGACTGGCACAGGATGCAAGACACTGGTAAGAGTCCTACCTTGTTCACTAGGTTCTGACTGAGACTTTCTGACAGTAAGGTCCAGAGGTGAGTCTTGGTCAGCCATGAGCAGTTTGCTGAGCACAGGGTTCTGAGCAGTTGCAGCCGTGGGAGAGGAGGCGACCAGAGATGCTTTCAGCAGGCTTTGGTTCTTTGTGCTATTGGGCTGGCTGGAGTCCTGAGTAGAGCTATTTTTTGAGGTATATTCAGCAGCAAACTGTCGGATCATTCGCTGCATGATCTCACGGGCCACTAGGGGAATATTGGGGTCGGAGACCCTAGGACTGTCTGCAAATATTAGAGATTTCTTTTAAGGAAGCACTTTAAGTAAAACAGCTTTTATATTAAGTCATTGTTTATTTACCAAAAAAAAAAAAAAAAAAAAAAAATTCCAGGGGAAAACAGAAAAGCCAAAGATAAAATAGTTTCTGTAGAAAATGTACTTCAGTCTTAGAATACCTGAATAAGAACCATTGCTAATTCTGGTACAGCCTTCCCAAAATAACACTTTGCTAAAAGAAATACACAATATCATATTTTGTTTTAAAATATAGATATATTCTTCCAGACCTCTAAGAGGTGTGGAAATGGAAAGGAGAGCTAAAGTGCCAAGTAATGGAGCTCATCCAAAAATATTGAACATGTTATACAGTGGAAGAGTTGCATAACTTACCTGCAGCTACAGAAAGGTAAAATGGAAAATAAATTTGCAGCAGTCCCCTATAAGTTTACTGAGAAATAAAGCCCTGTAGTTCTGATAAATTAAAATAATTCACATGAAGATCAAATGTTCAAGTGTGTTCCATCTCATTCTATGTATTCCTTTTGATATTTCTAACATTGCAATCAATGCAAGATCAGGAATCACCCAAAGAACTTGCATATACACAAAACCCCAAGACGTGTCACATGACAAGTAATTCTATTTCTAGAAGAGCTGCTAAATCTATTAGTAATGGATGTGAAACAGAACAAGTAGGCATTGCAATTTATTTATATGAAATAGTATATAAATAAAAAGGTATCTGGGCATGTGGACAACACAAAAAATTTATTGACAAAAATCACTATTTTAGATTAGTAGTAATTTGTGATGTGAAAGTAAATCTGTAACTCCTAAATCACAAAAGCTAAGTCCTGCCACTTCACTTGAAACACTGCATTCTCTGGCCAAATCAGTTTTGTGGTTTTTAAACAAACAATCAATACCCAAAAAACCCCCAAAACAACAACAACAAATACCAGCCACCCACAATACTCCCAAAATACTCCCAAAATACTCCCAAAAAACCCCAAACCACAGACAACCACACCACTATTCCAGAAGTGGCTCAAAAGGTTTGATTTTCTATTACCGATGAAACATTCAGGAAAAAACTGTACAGCAGAAGACCAAATAAATCTTTAAAAGCAGCTCTCAAGAGGGAACAATAGAGAAGTGTTTACTACCTCTTTTAAAAAATGGCCCAGGTTGAAAGGTAATCTATTGAGATTGAGCTATTAGAAGCATTAGGAAAATCTTCTGTGGGACCTTTCAGTGTTAGATTTGCCTTTTGCCACCATTTTCATCAAAAGTACATCAATCCAACAAACCAGCTTTATGGTATGTGTAAAAGATGACTGACATGAAGGGTTGAGCAGAGCTGCCTACAAATCAGAGAGCAGCAGTAGCAGCCTGTTTCTTGACGAAACACCATATTGAGCTTTAAATACTTATCAAGCCCAAATTCCTTTCTGTTAAGCACACTTTTCTACACCTCAGATCTTATACAGTCACCACGTATATTCTTACAGTGAATTTCTGTAAATCCTGTAAATTTCCAGGATGTTTATGTAAATATGTAACCATTTTCTTTAAAACATCCTGTAGATTTTACTTGTTGTAAGTACCAAATACTACAGTTTTAAGAAGACACCAAAAAATGAGCCAAACTTAAATTTTGGTGCATTTATAATCTCACTTGCTTCCCAAATGGTCCACAAGGACACCAGCCTGGAAAAGTGTAGAGGTTTTATTCTGCTGTGGTGGCATTTCTTCTACTTTTCTAATGTCTTCACTATAACCTCCTGAAGGACATAGAAAGGCTCTAAGGAGGCCCAGAGGGACACAATTTGATGACATGACCAGACAGATACCAACTGTGTGACATGTGCTTGCAGCATATACAAGTGGGGCTGGCAGGAATGCAGAGCTTTACAGCACTTGTGTTTTGTGAACGAAGAATCAGGCCTTTACTGTGCACCATGTTCATATGTTCATTTCAGAAATGCTTACATCTGAACATATTTACACATTCAGAAATAAAATATTGCATATGCCTACAGCCATGCATCCTTGTAATCTGCAGCTTCATAGAATCAGCCCAGAATGACAACTTTCTAGTGCTGTTGAAGATAAATGCACTAATTCAGGTCACAGAACTCGTTTTCAAGCAGAAGGGTAGGTACCTAGCACATTAAAGGCTTCTTGCTTAATATAAAGCCTGTATGCTGAGGATTAAAGCTGTTCAAAAGTGAGTGGAAAATATGTGCTGGTGCCCATCCAGCATCACTTGAAATCAATCACATATTTATCTTGACTCCACCTGTCCAGGTTTTTTTTAAGAAAATAAAACTAAAATTAACTAAAACATAGAAATTCTCTGAGAAGAGAAAATACAGCAAAAAAGTATCTGCTCTATATAGTCTGAAGCAGTACCTCTTCTTTATGCTTTTATGTTCAAAAGTGAGTGGAAAATATGTGCTGGTGCCCATCCAGCATCACTTGAAATCAATCACATATTTATCTTGACTCCACCTGTCCAGGTTTTTTTTAAGAAAATAAAACTAAAATTAACTAAAACATAGAAATTCTCTGAGAAGAGAAAATACAGCAAAAAAAGTATCTGCTCTATATAGTCTGAAGCAGTACCTCTGAGCTTTAAAGCCTTAATAGTTTTTGTGTATTTTTATATCAAAACCTTAAAAGGGCAGCATGAAACAAATAAAGGCATGATTTCATTAAACCAGAAGAAGGTCCTGACCTGCCACAAAGCAAAGGTAACAGATAACTAAGTATTACCACTCTGCTTTGACTGGAAAAATAAGAGTATTTAAAGGAAGCATTACTGGATCAGAGTGCCAGGGACACAAATTTCAGAGAAAGGACTAAGATTAATGGACAGTAGACCTGTCCAAAAAGTTTGCTGATGTTGTTAATTCCCTATTCATGTTCAGTACATTAATGTGTGGCCAGTGTTCAGCAAGGAGCTGCATTTTCTCTGATTTACCAGGCTACAAAATACCCATCTCAAATGTTACTGGCAGTGAGGATGGAAAGAAGAAAAAAACCAATTGCTGTCAGGAAGCCAGGAGAGCTCAGCATCTCTGAGCAATACAGGAACGTCAGAGTTCTGCCATTCTTTGTGTCCTCTTTGGTATGACAGTGCCTTGGGATCTTATGGCAGCAGCATGAGTTAGATTTCAAGCAATCTAAACAGAGGCAAACTTGAAAATCATGCATTAAGGATTCAGAACTGACTTCCTGCCAGGCTTCTACCCCTCACCTGTTACTCTTGCACCAAACACAGCTTTGTCCAAGAAAGAAAAACAAGGGTATATTTAAAAAAAAAAAATCTCAAAGATTCTTAGACATCTGGCATGTTTCATTATCTTTATTCTGGGTATCCAGCCATGGACAGAGTATTATACCCTTCATTAACACACTACAATATCTGGCTGCTGGCTTCTCAGCGAATTTAAGAAAGCATACTTTCCTAAAAGACACGTCATACATAAAGATTTAAGTTTAGTGGTAAAGGAATGAGGTCTTTAAGAAACAATTTAGAAATGATGGGAAGGCTTTTTTTTCGTCACCAGAAAAAGCAATATGGAAAAACCTGTATTTTCTCTAGACTTTAGTTTTCTTAAATTCCTTCTGGATTTGAAGATAAATGGGATAAACTCAAAAGCAAAAGGAAACATTAAGTTTACAAGAAAAAAGAAAAATTGAAAAGGAAGCCTTGGAATAAAGGTATTATCTGAACTATCAATAGTAATGCAGTAACTATCCTTCCTACCATCCTGCATGTATTGCAAAACGTATAGAAGCATCATAATGCATAGCTTGTATTTATTCATTTGAGTCATAAAAGAAAGGCTAAGATACTGTTATCTACTTAAAACACCTTTAAATATTTTGGTCACTGGAAGGAGGGGCTGAGGACTGGCTACAGCAATTTCTAATTTGTTAAACTGAAGCCTTACATTGTCCCCCAGCAGATAGGTTGGAATTACTGATTTGGCAGATTTTCTCACACATGGGTTAGACTGATAAGTACGATGTACTTTCATTCAGGATGCATTTGGAAGCAACCTCTGGATTAATGTTTCTCAGATTTGTAGAAAAAAGTGAAATGAGCTCTGTGCCTTCCTTAAGAGCAGTTTAAGCAACAACTCTCCAGAAGATATTTAGGTGATTTTCTAGCACTGAGCATGTTCTCAGAATATTCTACAGCAATTCTTCTGCTGATCACATTTTGAATTCCTCACATATCCCCTTTAGCACTATTCCAATAATATTTTATATTCTAGATTGTTGGGAATAGGGTGGGTAATTATTACCAATAGTGAAAAGACTGATGACCTTTAAGAAAAACTGCATTAGTACATATCCCATCAAAATAAATAGACTTTTTTTTTTAAAAAAAAAAAAAAAACCACATTACCCACCTACAACCACCACTGCCACTTGACCTTTCTTCCAAACAGCCCACCCACCTAAACACTGGTTATGGGGAACAGTTCTGCTGGGTAAGAACTGAGTCATTTCTCCAAAAGTGAAAACACCAATGATCTCATGAAGAGATTTTGTTTAGGGTTAAAGAGTTTTATGCTCCCCAGGCATCAACAGTCTCTTCCAATGTCCCAAGCCCACACTGTTATGTTGCTACATCACTTCAGAGTCAATTTTTATCCTTGATAAATATATATAAAGAAGATAGCTGAAAAATACTGAACATTCAACTTGAACATCAGATCTTTGATACCTACATTGCATGCAAAAAGACCACATGAGATACTATTTCCCACATCCTCCTCCCCCATTAAAACCAACCTTTTCTGTAAAAGACTGCATTGAGGAACTCTTCCGCTTGCCTTTCAAAACGAATGATTTTTGCTTGCTCTTGTCTAAGCAGAGCTTCTTGTCCAGCTTCCGAGGCTGGCTCATCCAGACTGACTAAGTGTTCCTGCAAAGATATTTAATATTTGTAAGATCTTCCAGACTCCAAAATTAATAAAGTTCCCTAGGCACTCAATATTTTACTAAATTCAAAACGTTTTAAGGTACTCAGCACAGAGTTGAATTTATTTAAATCAAAACTTGTTTTTTTGGCTGCATCAGAACATTGTACTTTGTCCTGTTTTCTTGTTGTAAATTGGGCTGGTTTGAAGGTCAACCAGAGGGAGGAATTAACCCCACACAAATGCCTTGCAAGTGATTTCCACATGGAGCTACAATTTAATAGGAAAGTTACAATAAAGGCAATAGTACAGAAACACTGGCTTCAACTGACAAAGAGTTTTGGCACCCTGCTGCTCAGGGTGCTGGTGGCAGTCTGATTAAATGGTGGTTGCACTCCCATTGAAATGATGGATGTGGACTTGTCAAAGCAGTGGTCCTGTGGAAAGGTCTGGTCCTTCCCTGGAGGTGCACTGGTGCTTCCCCCAAGTCCCCAAACCTTGAGATCATACACCACCCTCAAATCCAGGCAGGAAGGGTCAGTACCTCCCCCAGGGCAGGGAATTTGACAATGGAATGATGCAATCCTGTGAGACACAGGATATTTTGGGCAGTCCTTGACGGCACATTAACAGAGATGACCACCCTTAGGCTGCGTGTAACAAAGAGAACACCACACCCAACTCACAGGTGGGGTATGCAGCTCTTACAAAGGACCCAGCACTAACAGTTCATCAGAAGGTGATGGAGGTGGTGCTACAATACATACTTCGGTCACACCTTACACTATAACCTAAGACATTATTCACCCCTTATTCTACACGATCTACATCATACCCAAATTAATACCCATCTTTAACTCTACTTTATATATATATATATACACATACACAATGAAACATTACACACAGGTCTCATTTAAAGTTAGGTTTAAATGTTGAGGTACTCAACAGGTTTCCCCATCTTTCTGCATTTTCTATTGCAAGTATAACCAGGTCCTTGAGCAATAACAATCCCATGGATGGATTTCACTTTGAGGAAGGATTAATCTAAACTATCTTTCCTAACATACCTCTCGTGTACCACAGGGACTTCCATCTACAATGTGCAAGAGTTCTGACTGGGCAGGACCAGCCGGATTGATGGAGCTTCAGCTGTTGACCCACCAGGAGGCCTTTGCTAAATGCAGCTCCCAGTTTTTTAAGGTCCCCTCGCCCAGTGCCTTCAGGGTGGTTTTTAATAGTTCATTGCACCATTCAACTTTCCCAGCAGCTGGTTCATTATGAGGAATACGTTACACACACTCAATGCCATGTTCCCTAGGTCAGGGTTTTATAAGCTTGTTCTTGAAACAAGTCCCATTGTCAGACTCAGTTCTTTCAGGGGTGCCATGGCTCCACAGGACTTGCTTTTCCAGGTCCAAGATGGCGTTCCAGGCAGTGGTGTGAGGCACTGGGTAGGTCTCCAGCCATCCAGTGCTTGCTTCCACCATGGGCAGCACATAGCACTTGCCTTGCCAGGTTTGGGCAAGGGTGACGTAGTCAACTTGCCATGCTTCCCCATACCTTTATTTTACTACTGTCCACCATACCATAAGAGACTTCATCTGCTTGGCTTGCTAGATTGCAGCACACGTCTCACATTCATCCATAAGAGATAATGTCCATGTTTAAGTCCACCCCCTGGTCACAGGCCCATCGGTATGTCCCATCTCTTCCCTGACGACTGGAGGCATCGAGGGCCTAACAAGCTAGAAGTAATTCTCCTTTGTGCTAACAGTCCAGATCTACCTGAGATACTTTAACCTTGGCAGCAAAATTCACCTGGCATGCTGTTACTTCATTAGCCCGACTTTTGGGTACACGTACATCAGTGTGACAGACCTTGACAGTGAGCTTCTCCACCCAGGCAGCAATGTCTTGCCAGATCTCAGCAGCCCAGGTGGGTTTCCCCTGTGCACTGTCATTTGGCCTTTCTCCACCGATCCAGCCATCCCCACAGAGCATTAGCTACCATCCACAAGTCAGTGTAGAGTCTTTGCCACTTCTCTCATTTAGCAATATTCAAAGCCAGCTGGATGGCTTTAACCTCTGCAAGTTGACTTGATCCACCTTGTCCTGTGGTATCTTCTGCAGCTTTCTGTGTGGGGGTCCTCAGAGCAGCTTTCCATTTCCTGTTTGTTTCTACAATTGGGCAGGAACCACTGGTGAAGAGGGCGCTATCGCTTTTCATTCTCTGCTAGTTGGTTATTTGGTGGGACCTCCTCAGCACAGGTCACCTGCTCCTCTTCTTCTTCAGAAGATAGTCCAAAACTCGCATGCTCAAGCCATTTTGTTATGATTTCCAGAATCTCAGTGAGATTAGGATTTCCCATCTAGGTTCCCTGCGTGATCAGCACGATCCAGTTGTTCCACATGGCATCAGTGGCACGATGTGTAGAAGGAACCTTCCCTTTGAACATCCAGCCCAGCACTGGTACTTTGGTTAACAGATGCAGCTGTGCTTCAGTGCCAATCACTTCTGAGGTGGCTTGAACCCCTTTGCAGGCTGCAAGAATCTCTTTCACAGTTGGGGTACAGCTGGCCTCGGACCCTTTGTATCCCTGACTCCAGAATCCCAGCAGTCATCCTTGGGTCTCCTCAGGTCTCTGCCAGAGACTCCAGGAAGGATCATTCCCCCCAGCCACAGTGTAAAGCACATTTTTTACATCCTGCCCTGTCCTGACTGGCCAAAGGGCTACTGCATGGAATCTCCTGCTTAATTTTTTCAAAAGCTTGTTGTTCAGGGTCCCACCAGAAATAATTTTTCTTTTGTGTCATGAGATTGAGGGAGCTTACAATTGTAGTGTACTCTGGGATATGCATCCTCCAAAAGCCCAGAGCGCCTAGGAAGGCCTCGTTTCTTTCTTGTTGGTTGGTGGAGACATAGACGTTATTTTGTTAATCATTTCCGTTGAAATCTGGCAATGTCCATCTTGTCACTTTACTCCTGGAAGCTGAATTTCCTGAGCAGGTCCCTTAACCTTACTTCGTTTAGTGGCAAGCTTTCAGGACAATCTGGATAATCTCCTCTCCTTTCTTGAAGACTTCCCCAGCTGTATTCCCCACTATGATGCTGTCACCGATGTACTGCAGATGTTCTGGAGCCTTACCCTTTTCCAGTGCAGTATGGATCAGTCCATGGCAGATGGTGGAACTCTGCTTCCACCCCTGTGGCAGTCAATTCCAAGTATATTGCATAGCCCTACAGGGGAAAGCAAACTGAGGCTTGCACTCTGCTGCCAAAGAAACAGAGAAAAATCACTGGCAATGTCAATGGCCGCATGCCACTTTACTGCCTGGGACTCCAGCTCATACTGAAGCTGCAGCAAGGCTGGCACAGAAGCACTCAGTGGTGGCATGATTTAATTCAGGCCAAGGTAATCCACCATCAGACTCCAACTGGACTTATGCACAAGCCTTAGAGGCTGTTAAAGGGTGAATGAGTCTTGCTGACCCCCCCTTGGCTCTCCAGTTCACAGATCATCTTATGGATGGAAGAGTCTTGGTCGCTGCAATATTGCCGATGGCGACTGGTACCTGTTGCTACAGCAGAAGTGTTGTCGGAGAGACCAGGCAAGGTATTTTGTTGTCTGATTTGCTCCATCTCTAGAGCAGCTATCCTAAAATCCCAGCAATGTCATTTTGAGTCTTGAGATAGTCTGTGCCGAGGATGCATTGGGCCTCCGAACCAGCCACGATGGGGTGTTCCTGGCTCTCCTTCCCAGTCAAGCTCACTTTAGCATCCAATACAGTCAGGTGCTGGGATCCCCCTGCCACCTCAGAAATAGAAATGGATTCCACTCCCACATACCTTGATGACATCATGGTACATTGAGCACCAGTGTCAACCAAAGCCATAAACCTTTGTGGGTCAGCCATGCCAAAGCCACTGGATCCACACAGTCCAATATATCCAACTGTCCCTTTCCCCTACCTGGCTAAAGGCAGGGCTCCTCTAAATCCCGGTCATTGTACACCTTGCTCTCCTCCTGTAAATATGCCCTTGAGGTCCCTTCACGAGGGTCAGTAATATCATCATTCCTTTACCACCTGGAGCCTTGTCTAAGAGACACCAAAGCAGTGTCGACCCTAGATGAGCTTCTTGCAGTTGTTGCTCCTCCTTTCAGTTCATGTACCTGGGTGGCTAAGGAAGAGGTGGGTTTTCCACCCCACTTCTTCATGTCTTGTCCACGCTTCTAAAGGAAAAAACAGAGGTTACCTCGTGGAGTGTATCCTCTCTCCTTGGCTGGAGGACACCTGGTCCAAATGGCAGAGACTTTTCTTGGTTCTGGCAAGATGTGGTAAATTCCTTCCTTAAGCTCCTTCCTCAGTTTCTGGTGGCCCTCTTCAATTTTCTCTTCCAAGCTCCAGACGTGCCCAGCCAGCTTTGTTTCCACAGATGAGATGTGGATGCATAACCGGGCAGTGACAGCGTCCTTGCAAATCTTAGTTTATTGACCAATGCACCCACCTTGCCCTCTCCTTCCTTCCATTGCAGGGTTGCTAAGTAGTGGGAATATATTTCTGGTCTGAGCCTTGCAAATTTCAACCACATTTGTGATGTGCACTGGACACCGTCTGGGCTCTTAGGGAATCTCTCATCTTCCGAAAAAATGATTTCCAGCACAGCTAATTCCGTTAGGCATTGGATACCTTGGTTCCATTGTGTCCATATTCCTTCTTGCACATGGAGGTCACCTTTTATCTAGCTCTTTTACTTGCTAGCAGCCACTGCCAGAGGCTGAGAGTTTCCTGGGCTTCCCTGATTCCCTGGTCAATGACCACATCCTGGGACAGTGATCCCAGTTGCCCAGCCTCACGTCCTTTCAGAATGGTGTCATTAGCTGCAGCATCCCAGATGCGGAGCAGCCAGGTCAGAAGGGACTCGTTCAGCTGCCGGGTGAACTCCCCCTGCAGCTCACACAACTCATCCAGGGACAGAGGCCGAGTGATGATCTCCAGCTCC